GATTTTCGACACATTGTTTGACACTTGCATTGTTTTCAAGTGTCAATTGGGTTGGAAAACTATTCAAAATTTAAACTGCCAAATAGGGTAATTTCATCAGGTAAAGTGTAAAATAAAGTGTACACCATTGTGTACATGTAGCAAGGTTCTTACCGATTGAACTTTGCTATTTGTACAATGATTTTCGACATGTTTGAAATTTGCATTGTTGTCAAGTGTAAATTTTATGGGAAAACTATTCGAAATTTAAACTGTCCAACAGGGCAATGTCATGTAGCAAAGTGTAAACTAAAGTGTATACCATAGTGTATGTAGCAAGGTTCTGAACGATTGAACATTACTAATTGTACACAGATTTTTGACACGTTGTTTGACACTTGAATTGTTGTCAGTTCTCAATTGGATGGGAAAAGTGTTTGATATTTAAACTGTCTATTAGGGTAATGTCACGTGGCAAAGTGTAAACTAAAGTTTACACAATAGTGTACATTTAGTAAGGTTTTACCGATTAAACTTTGCTATTTGTACATTATTTTTGTCTTGTTATTTGACCCTTGCATTGTTGTCAAGTGTCAATTGGATGGAAAAACTATTTGAAATTTAAACTGTCCAACCGGGTAATGTCACGTGACAAAGTGTGAAATAAAGTGTACACCATAGTGTACATGTAGCAAAGTTCTTACCAATTGAACTATGATTTTTGACACGTTGTTTGCCACTTGAATTGTTGTCAAGTGTCAATTGGATGGGAAAACTATTTGAAATTTAAACTGTCCAACAGGGTAATGTTACGTTGCAAAGTGTAAACTAAAGTGTACACCAAAGTGTACATGTAGCAAGGTCCCTACTGATTCAACTTTGCTATTTGTACACTAATTTTCGACACGTTGTTTGACACTTACATTGTTGTCAAGTGTCAATTGGATTGGAAAACTATTCAAAATTTAAACTGCCAAATAGGGTAATTTCACGTGGCAAAGTGTGAACTAAAGCGTACACCATTGTGTACATGTAGTAAGGTTCTTGTCGATTGAACTTTGCTATTTCTACACTGATTTTCGACATGTTGTTTGACACTTGCATTGTTGTCAATTGTCAATTGGATGGGAAAACTATACGAAATTTAAACTGTCCAATAGGGTAATGTTACGTGGCAAATAGTAAACTAAAGTGTACACTATAGTGTACATGCATCAAGGTCCTTACTGATTGAACTTTACTGTATATACACTGATTTTTGATACGTTGTTTGACAGTTGAATTGTTGTCAAGTGTGAATCGGTTGGGACAACTATTCAAAATTTAAACTGTCCAATAGGGTAATGTCATGTGACAAAGTGTAAATTAAAATGTCCACCATAGTTTACATGTAGTAATGTTCTTACGGATTGACTTTGCTATTTGTACACTTATTCTTGACACGTTGTTTGACACCTGCATTGTTATCAGGTATCAATTGGATGGAAAAACTGTTTGAAATTTAATCTGTCCAACAGGGCAATGTCACGTGGCAAAGTATAAACTGAAGTGTACATTATAATGTACATGATGGAAGGTCCTTGTCGACTTAACTTTTCCATTCGTAAACTGATTTTCGACACGTTGTCTAACATTTGCATTGTTGTCAAGTGTTAATTGGATGGGAAAACTATTTGAAATTCATTGTCTAATAGGGTAATGTCCCGTGGAAAAGTGTAAACTAAAGTGTACACGATAGTGTACATGTAGCAGGGTCCTTACCGATTGAACTTTGCTATTTGTACACTGATTTTTGGACACGTTGTTTGACAGTTGCACTGTTGTCAAGTCTAAATTGGATGGGAAAACAATTCCAAATTTAAACTGTCCAACAGGGTAATGTCATGTGGCAAAGTGTAAACTAAAGTGTCCACCATAGTTTACATGTAGTAAGGTTCTCACAAATTGAACTTTGCCATTTGTACACTTATTTTTGACACGTTGTTTGACACTTGCATTGTTGTCAAGTGTCAATTGGTTGGAAAAATTGTTTGAAAATTTAAACTGACCAATAGGGTAATGTCACGTTGCAAAGTGGAAACTAAAGTGCACTTCATAATGTACATGTAGCGAGGTCCTTGTCGATTTAACTTTGCTATTTGTACGCTGATCTTCGACATGTTGTTTGACACTTGCATTGTTGTCAAGTGTCAATTGGGTTGTAAACTGTTCGAAATTTAAATTATCCAACAGGGTAATGTCACGTGGCATAGTGTAAACTAAAGTGTGCACCATATAGTACATTTAGCTAGGTCCTTACCGATTGAACTTTGCTATTCGTACACTAATTTTAGACACGTTGTTTGACAGTTGCATTGTTGTCAAGTGTCAATTGGATGAGAAAATTGTTCGAGATTTAAACTATCTAACAAGGTAATGTCACGTGACAAAGTGTAAACTAAAGTGTACACCATAGTGTACATGTAGCAAGGTTCTTACCAATTGAACTTCGCTATTTGTACACTGATTTTTGACAATTTGTTTGCCACTTGCATTGTTGTCAAGTGTCAATTGGATGGGAAAACTATTCAAAATTTAAACTATCGAACAGGATAATATCATGTGCAAACTAAAGTGTCCATCATAGTTTACATGTAGCAAGGTTCTTACGGATTGAACTTTGCTATTTGTACACTTATTTTTGACACGTTGCTTTACACTTACATTGTTGTCAATTGTTAGTTGGATAGGAAAACTATTCAAAACTTAAACTGTCCAATCGGGTAACGTCACATAGCAAAGTGAAAACTAAAGTGTACACCATAGTGTACATGTAGCAAGGTTCTTATCGATTAAACTTTGCTATTTGTAAACTGATTTTCGACATGTTGTCTGACACTTGGATTGTATCACATGACAAAGTGTAAACTAAAGTGTACACCGTAGTGTACATGTAGCAAGGTCCTTACTAGTTGAACTTTATTATTCTTACATAGATTTTTGACACGTTGTTTGACACTTGCAATGTTGTCAAGTGTCAATTAGATGAGAGAACTATTTGAAATTTAAACTACCCAACACGGTAAACTCACATGGCAAAGTGTAAACTAAAGTGCATACCATAATGTACATGTAGCAAGGTCCTTACCGATTGAACTTTGTTATTTGCACACTGATTTTCGATATGTTGTTTGACATTTGCATTGTTGTCAAGTGTAAATTTGATGGGAAAACTATTCGAAATCTAAACTATCCCATAGGGGAATGTCACGTAGCAAAGTGTAGACTAACGTGTACACCGTAGTGTACATGTAGCCAGGTTCTGAACGATTGAACTTTGCTATTTGTACACTGATTTTTGACACGTAGTTTGACACTTGAACTGTCGTCACTTCTCAATTGGATTGGAAAAGTGTTTAAAATTTAAATTGTCTATTAGGGTAATGTCACGTGGCAAAGTGTAAACTAAAGTTTGCACCACAGTGTACATGTGGCAAGGTTCTTACCGGTTAAACTTTACTATTTGTACACTTATTTTTGACGCGTTGTTTGACCCTTGCGTTGTTGGGAAGTGTCAATTGGATGAAAAAATTGTCTGAAATTTAAACTGTCCAACAGGGTATTGTCACGAGACAAAGTGTAAAATAAAGTGTACATCATAGTCTACATGTAGCAAGGTTCATGCCGATTGACCTATGCTATTTGTACACTGATTTTTGACACGTTGTTTGCCACTTTCATTGTTGTCAAGTGTTAATTGGATGGGAAAACTGTTCAAAATTTAAACTGTCGAACAGGATAATACCATGTGCCAAAGTGTAAACTAAACTGTCCATCATAGTTTACATGTAGCAAGGTTCTTACGGATTGAATATTACTATTTGTACACTTATTTTTGACACATTGTTTGACACTTGCATTGTAGTCAAGTGTCAATTGGATATGTAAACTATTTAAAATTTAAATTGTCCAACAGGGCAATGTCACGTGGTAAAGTGTAAACTAAAGTGTACACCATAGTGTATATGTAGCAAGGTCCTCTCCAATTGAACTTTGCTATTTGTACACTAATTTTTGACACGTTGTTGACACTTGCATTGTTGTCAAGTGTCAATTGGATAGAAAAATTGTTTGAAATTTAAACTGTCCAACAAGGTAATGTCACGTGGCAAAGTGTAAACTAAATTGTTCACCATAGTGTACTAGCAAGAAAGTCTTTACCGATTGAACTTTGCTATTTGTACACTGATTTTCGATATGTTATTTGACTCTTGCATTGTTGTCAAGTGTCAATTGGATTGGAAAATTGTTTTAAATTTAAACAGCTTAGCTAGTTATTGTCACGTGGCAAAGTGTAAATTGAAGTGTACACTATAGTGTACATATAGTAAGATTCTTATCGATTGAACTTTGCTATTTGTACATCGATTTTCGATACGTTATTTGATACTTGCATTGTTGTCAAGTGTCAATGGGATTGGAAAACTGTTTTAAATTTAAACAGCTTAGCTAGGTATTGTCACGTGACAAAGTGTAAATTAAAGTGTACACTATAGTGTACATATAGCAAGATTCTTATCGATTGAAATTTGCTATTTGTACACTGATTTTTGACACGTTGTTTGTCACTTTCATTGATGTCAAGTGTTAATTGGTTGGGAAAACTGTTTGAAACTTAATCTGTCCAACAGGGTATTGTTACGTGATAAAATATAAACTGAAGTGTACACCATAGTGTACATGTAGTAAGGTTCTTACCGTTTCAACTTTGCCATTTGTGCACTAATTTTTGACACGTTGTTCGACACTTGCATTGTTGTGGGTTTAGGGTTTAGGGTTTAGGGTTTAGGGTTTGGGTTTAGGGTTTAGGGTTTAAGGTTTAGGGGTTAGGGTTTAGGGTTTAGGGGTTTAGGGTTTAGGGTTTAGGGTTTAGGGTTTTAGGGTTTTAGGGTTTTAGGTTTAGGGTTTAGGGTTTAGGGGTTTTTTTTTTTTTTTAAGCAAATACCACTAGTGTGGTTTATTTTATATAATGAAAAGCGGGAAAACAAATAGAGGAGGGGGGCATGGACCTGACCTCCAGCAAATGTAAATTGTAACAAATATTTGAAGATGAAATGCAATCACACTAAACAAGACACGACCCAAAACTAATGAAAGGTACTCAAGGGTATTCCCGAGGGTAAATCTTCGGGTGGTAGTACATAGACATTGATCGAGTCATGCGTCTGGATTGAAACATTTCCGGATCATAGTAGTCTGCGATGTCTGGCTCACTCGTTGGAGAGGGGTCTCGCCTGCGTGTAGGAGCCTGCTTTGGTGATAAGAACTGTTCAGATGGTGGTGCACTGAATGTCGGGCGAAAAGCGGGTGCATCTGATCTCATTGTACTAGTC